GCATAGACCCGGCCCTGCCATTCCGCATAGACCCGGCCCTGCCATTCTGCATAGACCCGGCCCTGCCATTCTGCATAGACCCGGCCCTGCCATTCTGCATAGACAGCCTCCCAAGTTTGGCTGAGGTTGGTTACCTTCCCCTTTCATTGCTGACAACACAATTACATGTTCACATTATTGCAACGTGGATTTCCCCAATAAATTCATGTTGAGGTTCTATGCATTTGACTTGAGCCATAACTGAAACCTCCCTGATTCGAGGACATGAGCATTCTAGAAACCCCAAACCTGAGAAGACACCTGCACAAGCTGACAGGCTAGGACCTACTGCTCTGCAGGGCGCCCCAAAGGGAGACCAGCGAGCCTCTTTCCTCCATGACTTGCAGAGCGGGCAGGCCACTACCCGGCAGCATTTGGTACTGGTCTACCGTCAGAGCGTCCCACACGTGACAGAAAGGCCAAGCCCAGGCAGAAAGGAGAACATGCTGCTGTATTAAAAAATGAACAAACAAAACAACAAATAATTTTGTTTCTGTGTGGGCACTTAATGTTTTGGAGAAAGAGGCTATTTTTCTTCCATGTATTGACCAGTAGCTGTGTATTAACTGAAGCCGTGCGTCAAGGAGAGAGACCAAAGTTTGCCTAGAACAGAGTGTCAGGAGAAACCCAGAGCGGAGTGACTTACTTGGGCAGAAGTGCCCACTAGGCCTGTCCCTGAGGGGGTCCCCTCTGGGCGCCCCTGCCCCTCCAGCCCTTCTCTGAGCCAGGGCTATAAACACCCACCTCTTTTTGTGAGGGCTCTTGCCATGGGTGCTTCAGGGAGTGCTGGGTGATAAACACCCCCAGAGGCTGGGCTAGGGGTTTTGAGACTCTCGAGGTCCTCTCACCTGGTACCCCTGTGTAGCGCCAGCAAGGCTCAGAGCAGGTTTTCTATGATCTGAGCAGATGAGAAATGGAGGCTTCTGGGAACCCTCGGTGGCTTTTCCAGCCTTTAATGATCTTTCTATAAGGTTTGTAGTGAGACAACCAGGCGCAGGGCTGGTGGTCCGTCTAGCCCCCCATGAACCTTCACTCTTTCTGGGGTCTCAGACACTCCTCCATGGTGTCTTTGCTGGTTTCTACTGCACCCCACAACTGGGTCCTCTGCTTCAACACTCTGTTCTCCGATGCGTCTGTGATGCCGCCCTTACAGGCTCCACCTCTCAGCTCAGGTGCGCCCGCTCTCACACGCCCACCCCTACCCCAGGTGCCAGCCCCAGGTGCACGAGCAAGACCACTGTGTCGATCACTGATACTGATTGCAGAGGGCAGTAAAACCTAGTGACTCCCATTTACCTACACCCTGCGACATCAAAATGCATTTCCCTGGGGAACTCCGTGTCCCTTGTCTCCAAAACTCCCTGTCACTGACACTTCATTTTTCTTCCCCAGACCTAAACACTTTACAGATCTTTGCTGAATTGCTCCATGATCTACTAGGTCCGAAGCCTTGTCTAAAGGCCAGCTTCTGAGAAACACCAACTCAAGTGCTCAGGGAGGCATGTCCGGGAGAAGTGACCTAGCACTGGAGGGCTAGATGGAGTCAGAGCAAAGTGCGCAGAGAGAACTGGGTGGGAAAAGGTCGGGAAAGGGCTGGCAAGAACTGCGGGTAAGCAGATGGAGACAGCCCAGCTGGGGCACAGAAAGGAGACATCTAGGCAGTTCTGCTTGTAACGAGCAACCCATGTCTACCAGTGGAGAAGACGAGCTCCTGGATCCTTTTGAAATTCCGCTCAGTGCTCTTGCCTAGGCTGGTGGCAACTACATTGATATACAGACACTGGGAGGTAAAACTCATACCTTATTTACTAGCCAATTCCTTCCCTGCGCTCCAAATTCAATCCAAAAGCGACTCAATTTCCACCAAGCTGTCAATATAATATACCGTGCTCCTCTGCTCTCCTAACCTTTCCTGGTATTACAGGATCCTCACTTACTTGTAATGAAACACTATGAATAAATCAATGTATGTTAATATAGCGTGTCTTCAATTTTTTATGAAGGGCTTCACCAAATCTAATTCCCACTGCTTTGTCAGAAACAGCCTTTGAAAAATTTAACTTGCAAGTTTCATGAAGTTCGTGGGGAATAGGACTGGGGAGGGAGGGAAGGAAGGTGAGAGAAATAGCATGGGATGGAGCTGTGGTCATAAAATACATAATGCAAGGTGGATCTTCATTGAAATGGGGAAGAGGAAGATTTGCTGGCATAGCAAATCCACACTAAAGAGTCAGTGGGGGAAGGGAGCCAGACTGCATGTCAACCCGAGCTCTGGGCCCTGGGCTCTGGTAGCAGCACAGGGCTGGTGGACACCATGGTCCTTCCTGGGCACTGTCAGGGAGACCCCTCTCCCCCAGATCCCCAGCCAGAAGTCAACCTGAGCAA